ATCCGAAGACGAATGAATAACGTACTTTTACCGACTGATTGTTCTGGATATAATATCCAAAGCATGGGAATTTCGTCCTGTAAATGAAGAGCTGAGAGGCACTGTATAGCTGTGTAATTCTCATCGGGAATCGTCGGCTGCAGAGAGTCTCTGGGGAGGTCGAAAGTTCGGGGATCTTCCTAGTTTGTTGAGTTACGCACTGCTGGTGATTCTCATAAACTGGCTTCGCTCATCTCTCTAGACTTGCTCACCCTGTCACCATGTCGTCTTAGTGAATTGCTCGCTTATCATTTGAGTTTGGTAACATTCACTTTCGCCCACATAAACATAAAATCAAAGAACCTGAGCTCATATGAAATACTCGAGACTGTAATCAGTAATTTAATACGCCAGTTTTGTGAGCGCGATTCTCAAGGCTGAAAAAAGGGACTACATTGCTGGTGAGTGCTTTGTACCGTAGACTAAAAATTGTCGCTTGGATAGTCATTTAATGACAGTGAAGCAAAATCCGTTTGCTTATCTTACCATCAATAAGGGGAATTTATTAGGTTTCTGACGTACAGATCACTCCAGATACTCATTAGCTTATGAATTTGCGTTCCGAATTAATGGTTCTTCATTCTGTTTACATTCTGTAGGCCTTTGTACACAATATGACCGGACCTCAGTTCAGCTACTTTTTTACGGACTGGGTAAGTCAGTACTCAGTGAATTAGTTCGGCTTGTACTTAGTTCTTTATTATGCTTTCATGTTAAAAACCCCAAAAGTTTTTAAAACATATGAAGATTAACGTCTTACATCATCCGACGGCAGTCTTCAGATGTTCAACTGTTCAGGTATCTTAGGTTTCATAGAACCACTTGGCTTAACTAAAGGTCAAGCGGTGATTTATATCGTAGTAAACGCATCAGTTCGTTCCAAGGAGAATTTTTAAAAAAATCTTGAGTCATTTGGAGCCTATTCAGCTAGGTGAGATGGAACTAATTCCNAATCTGGACAGCTTCAAACATAGTCTATTCCACGTCACCCCTTTTGTTCTGCTCATTTTAAGGCTTTGAATATAAGTGAACAGACTTCGCATTTGTACGCCCATGAAAAATGAGTGTCCCTGGTGCTGGCTGGTGATGGTGATGACGAGTATAGTTTGGCTAAGGCTGGCTGATGGCCACGCTAGAAAAATTTAGACCCCTCTAGTGTCCTTTCCACTCTACAGGACCAAGTGGCCGGATCACTGATTTGTTAACCATCTGACGGATGTGCCTTATCCAACCAGCTGCCCACTAACAATAAATAAACTGGTTGAAAAAAAGCTTGGATTGGACCAGGAATTCGTAGGAAAAGGTTGTAATGAAATCACGAGGTCCCTGCTAAGTGGGAGTTCTCCGTCCGCACTGCACGTGAAACTGGCACACAAAAAATGAAGGTTGCTCACATCTCAAATTGATGCATGCTGTCTCCGAAACATGGATAGCTGACTCAAGTGAGGCCTCAAAGCGCTCTGGACAGATCGGCTCTTCCATATGTCAGCCTCCGTGTGTCCATTATTGCAGAAGCGGTGACTCGTGGAATGATGGTGCAGTTTGCGTTCAACCCAAGGTCAAACGTGCTTTTCTGGATGGATTCCGTTAGGCAGTGATCTTTGGGCTGTCCTGCTTTCCAGCTAAATTAAGCTGAGTTCCTATCGAAATGGAAATCGCTGCTTGTTTTGTGCCAACCTGTGCCTCAGGGGACAACAGTTCCGACGAGGCAAAGTATATTTTCCGTCAAAAGTTTTCCGAATCATATCCTTGGCAAGAACAAACGATATTATCCCGCCCTCATGAGGTTATCTGAACCCTTTGAAATCACATCTGGGTGATCAGTTAGGTGTCGCATGGACTCACATTGCCTGGCCTGGAGGCTACCAAGCTTTACTCAACCCTTACCCAATTGGATCACCTGGCTGTCAAGATGCGCGCAAATCCATCAAGCGTCAATAGCAAAGAGTCTACTGGAAGACGGAACTCTCTCAGGAGATGAGAAGGCTTTTGATCACTAGAAATAGCCCCACCCTATGCCAGTGAATTCGACTGGCTGATTTGACTGGCCACAGAAAAGTAACCTGGGTAATTGTATCAGTTTCGTGTTTTCTAGCCAAATCCAGCATTTCCACTGGAGCGTTTTCATAGCAGCTTCTGTGAACCTGCATTACCTGTGGTGTTTTACTGTCAAGGGTCGCGTTCACAATGCTACGGTGCGTTCGACTTGTTATCTGGATGGAAAACCCGGCCACTGTGCACTAAAGATGTTAAATTTTTTTCAGCTTTTGACCATCCACGTCTTCAAGGCGTTTTCTGATTTTAGGGGGAACACCGAACCAGTAATGCTGAAGGAAGCCGAATGGATTTCGGAAGAAATCATTCGCGCACGACATAAGAACTGCTCATATCCCATGGGTTGCATGGGCTTCTTTGGTGCACCGTAAGCCAACTGACTGATTTACTCGGTGGGTCCTTTTTGCGCAAACAAGCAAAGATGGAAGCGAGCCAGAGACGTCAGGTAATGACTTGGAACAGAAGGAAGAAAAAGTTCAGCTTTTCAGGCACTTGCCATTTTTCTGCATGACAACCCTTAGGTGTTACACATCACTGGGTGAAGAAACCGGCAGATATTTCCAACTTGCGCGCCCGATTACCCACATGTATTCAGGCCATTGACCCTGATGCATGGCTTCCGCCTTGATCTCACCATTGAAAACTCCATTGTCACTACTAAATTCGCCTGCTAATAGTATCAGCTACTGCTTCTCCATCTTTACAGAGCATCTGTGAACGAAACTGTTGCAGCCGTAGCCATGTAAAACATGTAACCAATATACAGAAGAAGATAACGTCGGAAACGACAGGATTACATCCAATCCTTCCAAAACTATAAGTACATGCAGTTCAAGTCACTTGCAGGAAATCACAGACCCTACAGCTTTTGCAAACACAACAGACCAGCTATAGCCCACTGGTGAATTTAGCTTTAGAGATAGAAAATGGTAAAATTTCTGTCGAAACGTATAGCAGTTGGGTAATACAGGATTGGGTGAATCTTTTGTCCCACTGACACTTTTGAGTGTCATTGGAATGATACAATTCTTCCACTTTTGTGTTCACAAATGCGGTTCATTTAGAGTGTTCACCGTGTTCCCCGTCTGTTTGTTTGCTTGTTTGGCAGTCCAATTGTGGCGGCCGAATATAGTTTGAAAGGCATCGAATACCGGTTATTGAACCCACAGGCATGCCAAAATGATTTCACTGGTTTCAGAATAATTCGCGTAACGGTGACAAATTTCGCTCGAGGATGGCGTTGAATATCCGAGTTATGCTGAGTTACAGACTTGGGAATATACACACACACACACATGCACATTTGTGCACACGTGCCCACCCCTTTTGTCAGCAGCCATTTATCATGTCCATACACAGCTTCCGGAACTGCCCGAGAGGAAAATGGCAGGAGCAACCATGCAACCATGACCGTATCCGTTGCATCATTGATTTCCTCTCTCCACTGAGGGGGATTAACAAACGTTCCGAAATTTCGCCTTGATTTCTAGCAGGCAAATCTATCTACTGTACAAGAGAGAATTCCCATCCCGACTTGAAAATATGTGCATTTTTGTTGTGCTTTAGGATGTTGGCCTACTGGACCTGACTGCCTTCAAAGTGGATGCTGGAGCCCAGATCAAGACAATCTCTATACTATCCAAAACGGGTATTAAAAAGGCCATGCAAAACCCAGGGGTCTATCAGGCTAGCTCAGTACCACTTCCCATACCTCAAACAATCGACTCGAATCTTGGACCGCCAAAACAGGGAATCACGGGTGTGCTAAATGTAAGTTGAACCTTCGCTCTTTTGTTTATAAAGGCCAGTCAGTACCCTGCTTACGTGCTCCTTTTGGTTGCATACCTCTTGCAATGGATGATGACAAGCGTTTGAGTGGAATGTCTAATAAAGTGCCAACTTGTAAACGTAATTCTGACGGTGCACGGTCACTCGTCTTGCCGGGTTGCATACCTCTTGCAATGGATAATGACAAGCGTTCGAGTGGAATGTCTAATAAGTTACCAACTTGTAAACGTAGTTCTGACGGTGCACGGTCACTCGTCTTGCCGCGCTGCATCCGGTGACTAAATTTCTGACGTCTGTCTAAAGAATATCCAGGTTTGCATCCCTGAAGCCCATGTGAACCAATCCGTTAGTGCCAGTGTGCGAAGTAACTGATTCCTCTTCGATACTTTTGGCTTCTTTCTTAGCCCATAGACGCAATGTCTCTGCCAGCCGTCTTAACTAAACTTGTCGAGTAAACTCCTTGGTTTTGCGCACCGAACTTCCTTACTACTTTAATATCCCGATACGTGTGGCGGCCATTTTGCGCTCAGCATTGTCAGCTTGTCTTTTACAGAAGTTTCAAGCAGGTATTTCCAAAAGTTGGTGTCCTACTTCGCCTGTGATATTTAGAGTTAATTTGTGTTCAGTCTTTGATTGTAATTGCAAATTTGTGGATATCATGATGCCAGGAATAACTTGAGTTAGGAATAAGTTGGATGAGGGATAAGCTACTCTCACCTTCCCGCACCTGCTGGTTTAGATTCGAGCATCACTGATGTTGATGGTAGTTCCTATTAACTATTCGTGGTAACTAGGGAGATCGATTATTACATGGTGGGGTGATAATATCGTTTGTTATCCTTTGCACAATTTTAAACATCGGCAAAAATTGCGAATAAAAAAGGTGATAGAAAAGCTCCAAGCCAAAAGCGTATAGATTATCTTTTCCGATCAAGCTAAGAGCTGTATTCATCAGAGGAAATCTCGTGGAAAAATGAATGAGAATAACTTCGGGCCACAACAAACACATCTTTGAGCGGCAAGTGTTGAAAATTGTCACGGAATAACGGAATTTTTTTTAATAAGTTATGTTTTCCACTCATTTTGCGTTCCTTCTACTCAACCAGACAAAGACATTGTCATCCAGAAAATGCATCTAAAACACACTAAACTGTTAGACTGCGGGCGTCGGTCTGTCGACTTGTGTAGAGAGAGACTCACCACTGACCCGGTTTGATTGTCGCCCGCTAGAGTGGCAATGGAGAGTTAACAGTTCTTCCCGCCCAGAACAGATTAATTGCATGTGATGTCATCTAAGTTCACCACACTCATCACCGAAATGGGCTTCTTCAGATAATCCGACGGGGCAATGAAACACAGAAACTCATGTTCGCGTGCCATATTCATTTTTATTCTGCATATCTTTCCTGTAAAAACTGCACCTTATGGTCCTACTGATTTTTTGTTTTGTTATTTCACATTCTACTCTACTGGAACTTAAACCACTTTGAATGAGATACACTCTGCTTCTCCTTTCTCGTCCTATCCATTTCAGACTCAGTTCGGGATCCTCTACGATAGCTTCTTGTTATTGGCGCATGGACTCGTCACTGTCACACGAACACGTCCACTGTTGCCGCAAAAACTAAGTTGTGAACGACCACCCGGACTTTGGCCACTCGGCTTGAGTTTGATCAATGCTATGAAATCGGTGGGTTCCGCGCTCTCGAATGCCGTTTGCCTGAGAACCGTAGAGATAAGCACGCAGAGATAGATGGATGATTCCTCCTGTGGGTGGAATAAAGCGATTTATTTTCAATCAATACATAAAGTCACGGATTCGTCTTGATGCATATCCACGTGTACTGCAATTCACAAAGTGTGATGCCTTTGGTATCGGTTTTCAGCGTCCGACATTTATGGTAGGAATAGCAGTTTCAACATGTTGATTTGACGGAGACTGTGAAATGGACCACCCGAGCTCGCTTACGCTGGCTTAGTCTATCTACGGCTGGCGGTGTTTATCTGATTCTGTCTCCCAGGATCAGACGAATTGTAAAACAAGGAGTGGGCAATTGTCTCCTTCACTAAAACAGCATTTGGGTCTAGGCAGATCGAAGCACGTTTCATCCCGATGATATCCTTGGAAAGATTTTGCACCATTCATGGTGTGGTTATTGGTGTGGTCACATCTCCAAAATATGAATGGCATAGTTTCCTGCATGCTAGTCATGAGCTTTCTTTAAAAATTTCAATAATCCGCCACGTTTATAACGCAGACATCTTTTTTAGTGGGTGTTATCTGCTACTCCTCTCCTACATTTTCCCGGCACCACTTCGCTTGCTCTATGTTCTGCCGCTGATCCTTCCTCATCAATGCTGGTTCCTCACCCAAACCAGTCACTTTTCAACTCGCCGTTGACCTCAGTTTCTCTAGTCGTTTCTTCGTCATACGAATCCCAACAAGACCTGATGTTCAGTGACCATGAAATTTTCACTATTAGTATGCAGGCATCTGTTTCCAAACTGGTCGGTCACACCGAACTACACCGTTGAATCTTGTGCACAGTTGATCTACGCTGAGTCGCCTGTGATACATCCAGTTTGCTCGGTGTGAACCTTGGGGAATACTCTCAAAGAGGAGCAGAGGGCTGTGTCAACATTCGGGCAAGTGAGACCTACAGTGTAGGTAATACATGGGCTAGTGGCCCGCATATTTCATAAAACTCGCTTACTGTTATACTGATAAGTCAGTCTAGTGACACGTGTCGGGCGAAGAGGACCCAGTGGTGGCCGACCCATGACTTGGCTAGAAAACTGCAAAAACAGGTTGGCTACTACAAGCGTTGACAACCGCCATCTTCTCGAAAGGGGACCTCGGATAGAGACAAGTCACACGGCAGCCGATAATGCTTCTCCACCAAAGCCGAAACAATCTGACGAAATGAATTGCATGAGCGGTCTTTCTGAACGCTCAATTGTAATTCTGTTGACCTCCTTATCATAGGCGGGCACACTTGTGGCAGACTGAAATGTACAGCTGCGAAAGTTTTATAGCTGAATAGCTGATAAGCTAACTGGCTAATCATCAACCTATTACCACGGTATTAGGTGTGACGTAAACCTCTCGTTTTCTCTCTCATTTTCGTTGTCCTCGTTAATGATCTTCATGTATATAAGAGTTAGAATGCGTAAAGCTGATGCTTATAGAGTGGACAGTCTGTAAAATATATAATTTAAACTTACCAACTGCCCATATAACTGTAAAAATTGCGACCTGCAGCGCCAAGTACATTCCTAACTAATCAACCATTGTTCTCGCCTAAATTGGTGTTCTGTTTTATAATTTAAGTTCAGTTTGCGTGTCAAGAGCATTCACTCCAACATGTTCACGAGATCACAAGCCTCCCGGCTAGTTCCTACCACCAGATGCAAACACGTCCAGGTGTTGTAAGCCCTCTTGATGGACTTCGCTGTGATCCCATAGTCAAGCGCCACAAAAGCCTGTCTAGCGGTAAAAAGTAAATATACTGAAACTAACAATGCACAGGATGTGCTGAAAATGGCCGGCAGTCGATCAGTTAAAATTGTGTATCTTCTATTTCGGTTATTCTCTCAGTCTGATGGCTCTACAAAGACACTTAGAGACACTAAAGTCAGAGGCATGGTAGAAGCCATATTGTCACCAGACACCCCAAATTTGTCCTTATTTATCAAATTACACAATCAGAATGCCTCATCTGGTAGACAAAAGCCTTCATAAAGTACTAAGGCAGGGGATTCAATAAACTAACGTCCTCGAATTTTGTCTCCGGAAGGGCTCTTTGGCATAGATTGAGGGACTTGAGGCGATGAAAAGACCTACTCTGTGAGCACGAAGATTTCGAAATCATCAGAGCTCAGTTCTTAGCTTGGTACTTCTAATCTCTGTCAGAGATAAACACGATGTTACTCATTCACACCGGACCTTTAAACCTACGACGACTGATCTTTCTTGGCAAATCATTTGCGTGTGCTCATTTGCTTGTAAGATCCATAGATAAATATTATCCACAGCTGAGCAACTTCTATGGTATAGTAGACTTCACAACACAGCTGATTTCGGATTTACAAACATGCTACTAAGTAGAGAAATACACTCGTCTGTATTGCTTTTAATGAGTGACTCAACCGAGTTCATCTGTTACGAGATTTTTCAGCTGATTGGGTCTCAAAATGACTGTCACGAGTTTCATTTGGTACGACAGCATTAGTTTACCAGAATTTCAGGGAGTACACCTGCGTGTGAGCTCCAAGATGCATGAAATACGTATCAAGTAGTCCAAGAATTTTGAGCGAGCCGATGAGTAGTCTGCAATCTCAAGAAATACTACCAAGTAAAATAGAATAATCCAGTAAAATTCATCCATTTTCACCAAGAACTTATCTGATGCAGGCGAACCCGATTATTTCTTATATTGGTCATAAGTTGTGGCAGGAATTCCTCTCACCAAATACGTGCCACGATTGTGTTTATTTATTATTATTATTTGTTCACTCATTTATTTATTTATTCATTCACACCCACTAGTTCAGTCGACTCACCCAGTGAATTTTTAATTAAGCAGTTCAACTTCATCTTTGTGAAAACCGTTCACTTAGTTTCTCAGCTCCCACACCGACAGTTCATTTTAAGATACTCTGAAGCTGCCCAAAATATGGATGAATTTTCTAGGCCGGGGACGCAACGAGTTAAAGTGATTCTATGGAAACAAACACACTATATTAGCAGAGGATTGTTCAGACACATACAACGACGTAAATAGGCGCAACACTGGTCCGGTTTCAGGCAACCTCAGATGACATTTCCGACGAGACTGCACATCACGTTATCAGTTGACAAGCAGACGGGGAATTTGTTTGCGTCCGTCGCTGTCCGAACGGTCGGTTGGTTTAAAAACCTGTCATTTTACTTCGGTGCCGTTTTACCTCGTCCTCCGTTCGCAGATGCTATTTATCTTCAATCGGTCCCAGTGGTTGTGTCAGCGTGCTTTTTGAAATAAGCTAGTTTATTGACGAAAGGATCTATCCAGTGAACCCATATTGACATATGGTGACATATATATTGGATGTCCGAGCGAGATAATATCATTTTTCGGTCTAGCACGAACACAACCGTCTTGACCGTTAAGCCTTTGCCCCATCCATCATTTGTGATATAGTTGTGATAAAGTTGATCAAAACTCTCCAGCAGATCACGATCTGTTTCGTCCTTCTTGGGGATCAGTATGTAGGCGCTATTCCCGAGTTTCCACCAAGCTTATGTTCTACTGGTAATCAAATTGCACGAAAGTAGCGAACTATACTTACTTGCATACCATTTCGATTTTGTTGAGAGACTCACCTGGGGTGGAACCCAGGTCAACTTCTCATTTGTGGTGTTCTTAAGCAACATAATGTGCTACATCGAGCCGCCTGATAATTCAGTTGGGTGGGATATGTGAGATATCCCGATAGAAACTGGTGAGATTGACGGAAACTCGGAGATTATACCTACCTCAAGAGCCCCAAAAAGAGCGACACTTATCGTGGTCTGTCGAACAGATTTCCGTGGCCTTATGAGTAGTGCATCACTTCTAATCAGTGTATTGCGATATTTCAAATATCGTACCAACTGAAACACGATGCAGCCCGGCTTCTTGAGAACAACACAAGCGAAAAATTCAGCTGGGTTCCAGTGATTCTCCCGTAAAAAGCCAAATTGGTTCAAACAAATGTTCTTTTACCGGTTATCGTGCGTTTAAAGTGACATTTGTGCCTCGAAGCACTTCAAGTTTGTGAAAATAGCAGTTTTCAAAGTATCCTCGTTTCCCTGACTAGAATATAAGATTGTCACTAAACTTATCTGAAAGTTGTCGAAGGAACGACACCCTATCCAATAATAATATCCGGTTAAGGGAACGTCATCAGAAAGAGGAATTATTGACCATCTAGTCTGTTTGTGCTCGACGACATCTAACACTTTTACAGTCTGGTTTTGGCCGCAAAACAGATAGAGCGTCAACTCAGTACCCACACGACTGATAACCAAAAGTGCCACAAGTGCTTACTGAGTAGGGCAGAACTCACCGTGACGAGAAGTTCTTTATCATCATCTATTACCACTTGTCATGTCATTACTGTGCTATAACAGGTGCATAACGGCTGAGTTTCGGGAGTCACATGCAAGGATAGGTCCTAAAATGTCACAGGCGCTTCTATCGAGCTCATTTCGGAACAATAATTGTATGCTCATTGAAACTGGAAATTTTATCCCACTTGACTGGGATACCTGGCCGGTTTCAAGAATTACAAGACACGTTTAAATTCTTATCTAAATCAATGATCATCTTCAGTGCTGAGTTTAAAACATGTTACGTAATAAAACCGCTACAATATAGATAAGTGATCATACACAACTTGTGTTTATTTGTCTACTAGCTTCGCAGCATAAAGTATGGATGTGCGTGTGTACCGTTTCGCATTAGAATGGGCTACCAACTGATTCCATATGAAGAGGAACCGTCAATGGCTAATAGGTAGAACTTGCTGAACAACGACTCCGTGAAAGTCTGCTGCCACCTTGAATGTTAAATGAGATGTGTGACGCTCATCGAAAATATTCTCGAAAGTTAAGTGGTTTTTTTCGTTTATTTCAATCGTAATGCAGGTATCACCCGATGTTGTTGGAGGCATCACAGGACAATTCAGATTTGACAGAGATGGCCAGAGAACAATGTTCGATTTGACCACGTTGGAACTAACTGAGGGCGGTTTTACCCCGGTAAGTAAATCAGCTGTTTGCTTCTTCGGAAGGTAGCATAAAAGTGGGACACAAAAAGACCAAGTTTACATATTTTGATATTTTCTTAGTTCTTGCAGTGATTTTGAATTAACAATGGCATCCCTATATATATACTCTGTTTTATGTAGATTTCATGGACCGTGTTCGCCTCGTAGACAAAACCGGAAACTACACTTCCAGTTTTCATGAAGCTACATGAAATTTTGATCGATATTCACAGCCGATCGGGTATAATTCAGAATAGTTGAGCTTCCAGCTGGCTGATTTTCAGCAAAAAAAGTCGAAATGTCAAATATATCCTCATATAATCTCAGCAAGCCCCGTGACTGTCGGTACACATCCCGTTTTCGGCTATAGGCACGCAGTCTAGTCTTCTTCTTTCCTGACTGGCAGTTTTCAATAGTGCACTATTATCTCTCGGAATGGCCACGAAATGTCTGCAAGTAAGCTGTCACACTAGGCCACCAGACCAACAACACACCAAACATGGCATCTGGTAAAAAGCTACGACAAATAAAATCGATGTGATTAGGTGAAACGTTTAATGAATACTAGTTACAGTCTACATGCAGGAGAGTCTGTTTACGCTTTTCGTCATTGAGTGAGTAGATACAGCACTCCCACTATCCAACAGGAGTACTACTCAAATTATCCATTCCTTTTTACTTCTTTAGTGTCCCGATTCACATCGAAGCCGGATTTCAAGACATCCGTCAAAACTTTACTATTCGTATTTTATTCACACTTCGAAAGCAGTAACGATAAAATTCGACAACGGTATTTTGCAAACAATTTTGGATCCTACCATGTTGCGCATTCTTTTCCTGATGATTGAGGAAAGACCCGGATCATACAATAAATCTGGTCATGAAGTAGACATTTCATCGCGTTAGCAACATTCCTCATGGGTAGTTGAGTCCTTCACGAAGAGACCTTGGGATGTGTGCACCTCTGTGACCCAATGATCTGTGCTGGAGGTTGTTTCATTGACATCTACAGAGTCTCTCATACTAGGCTCGTCAGTGAATATAGGTCCAGTGAACACGTTCTCCAGTTTAGAGACAGGCGTTTGGAGCATGTCACTACGTGTCCAAAAGAAGTTGCGCTAATCTGGCAGTCTCATGCCCACCATTGCTTTGCATTCATACTTTTAAGCCAAATTCTCTGGTTGAGGGTGCGAGTATTTTCCCTGTTTGGGTTTGGGTGCCCAACGTAGTAATTCACCCCACATAGGTCTATGAATTGTACAAATTTCAATAAGTTATTGCCATCGCCATTACGCTGTAACATCAACCGGATCTTTTTATCTTCTGAGTACAGCACGGTGGGTAAACGAAAAAGGCTAATTCGAACAATTGCTGCTTAGGTATTAGGTCTCAGCTCACTTTCCATCCCATATGGTGATCTCTCGTCTGTAATTAGCAGCCATAGGCATATCAGTCTTGCACCTAAAGTTAATAAAAACGTGCCATCACACACATCTATTGAGTCCGCTTCTCGGACCTCATTCCTCTGTTTCTACCGCGAATATCAGTGTGCAAATACTAATGCTAACAGCTCACCAAGATGTTGTTGCCATCGATAGTTGTACGTTGCGTTTCCGAAACTCGTATTTGATGTCTATCTGCAGCAACAGAGCCTACGCATCTTCGTTACCTGGGAACTACCGCCTTTGAGCTCACCATAAGCCTGCATCTCCTGCAGTGGATTACGCCGATTTTGACAAAGTCTTCAGCTCCAGAACTAAAGCTGAATTCCCGTTAGTAATCCCTTTGCATTGCCTACAAATTTACGATAGCCGAAATAATATCCGTTGTTTATTTGTAGTTTCTGCATATACACCCAACAAGGGTAATTCTGAATCGGTGAAACATATACGTTTTCGAGGACAAACCATTCCCCTCTCCAGGATGACGAGTTGTGGTATTATCTTAGTGGCCGGTGACTTCAGTGTACCCGCTGGATGTCACAGCTAAGCACAGGCGTGACTTCGTAGTCTGTTTAGGTTGAAGTCAAGAGGTGTCGACTGTGTGGTCGGCTTGTGTAGCTTCAGACTGATCATCATTTGGCTCTCAGTGGTACTGGATTCGGAAGATCAAATGCTGTCACGTTGATTGACGTTGCCCTACTAACAGAGAGCCTTAGAACCAGATCGATCACATATCTACTACTACTCTCTGCAAAGGCTATATTCTTGAGTTTGATCTTTCGATACCACTCATTCCGAATCGGAATATGCTCTTATCTTGGCCCGTCTTGATCACAGGGCTAAATATTTCAGGTAGCAATTGAAATGTGCTGAAAACGTGTTCAAGACATGTTGCAATTGCATCTAGAGAAAGAGTAGTGGGTTTGAGATTATTGGTGATACTGTTCTGTTATTTGGCGGGCAGGCAACCATACAAACTACTCTTATTAGAAGATCAGCAGAAGTGTCATACCTTCAAAGTGCAGTGCCTTATTTAGGAACTTCTCACCTTCATGTAACCCCTTAAAACCTTGAAATGAGGAGCTTGAGAATGCTGATATTTTCATTTTTCTTGGCAGATGCGTATGCCGTTTGACATATGATGTTACTGTGCGGCAGCAGTAACACTTGCTAATTCACATCAAATTGGGTGCTGGAAAGGGCTATTGGTGAGGTCGAATGACCGTGTCTACAAAACCGCACTAACAGGAGTCCTACGCCATGGCAGTGAAACTAGGTCCCCCGGTTGCCAATCTCTCTCTTGTATAGCAGGCACCAACTGGCTGCAGCATAAACATAGTGAAACGATCTGTAAGAGAGTGTTGGGCAGAGAATCATATTCCCTCGAATAGCACCTAACACTTATCAGGTTCAGGTGACTGGGCTACCTACTCTGTACTTACGTATTTTCCACTCTAGGTCCACTTTGGCGAGCTCAGTCCATAATGAGTAAACACATATCAAAGAGGGCTATTTCGAAACTGGTGACAGCTTAGTGGCAAATTTGGCTTCAAAGCCGAGAGGAACAATTTTGGAACGTAAACGTTAGTGTTAATAAAGGGAGGGTCATGCTGGAAGAAACTGGATGGTGTGTAACAATGAAGTTGGCATCTTAACTCGGCCAACAGAATGGTCTATCCGAGTAACCAAAGTAACGGTGCATACTATGTCTTTTAAGGTATTGGACAAACATCAACTGTGCAGAGGAAAAGAACGAAAACGGGTGCTAAGGGTTAGGAGGTTAAATCTTCATATCAATAAATGTACATTTACTGAAACTTATCACACAAAAACGGCTTGAAAAGGAAAACTTGGTTTCTGTGATGGGTATAAGAGCAAACACATCTCAGATAAGCAATAGATTGGCGCACTAAATTGCAGTGCAAAGCTTCACAGCTAAAAGTGTGAACGATGGTCATTGAAAAAAATACGGATGACTTTACCAACAAACTAGGGGTACATCTGAACTGACCGCTAGTCAGTTAAAGGCAAACAATCGTTGCAGTCCTTTTTATCAGATCCCAGCAGCTGAAGACATTTTTAATCTCAGTCATAGAAAGACACCCAGTAGATTACTTGAAAGACGTTTCGTTTTTGTAAGCTGATCAGTCACGCCACGATAGCGCTTGAGCTACCTTTTTTGTTACGGTCCACTCATGGATTCTGTTTATATGCTCTTTAAGTCTCTAGTTTCATCGAGTTGCACATTAGTGAACAATGAAAAGATTAATAAAATATCTACTAGCAGTACAGTTTTAATTTCTGACTCGCAGACTTCACCTACTTGTTGATGATTCTCTCACGATAGGCACCAACGAACTGGCTAACGATGTGACCGGAGAATGGTCAGGGGATTTTGAAATTTAAAAGATGGATGCTAGCAGGTCGGGTGTGTTCGTCTTCGGCAGAAAAGATAACTGTGATATCCGGGTTCCTTTAGAACGGATGCGTTTCTACAACTAGCCTCAACCAACCCTGTCTCTTTCAGAAGGTTTTAGATCCAGATGTAGATTTATGTCACGCTCTCCTGTTCCTAATTTCGAATCTTCTGGCAGAATAATAGCTATCCTGACAATCTAATTGGTCTCGTCCGTCTGGACAATTTCAACCCCTTATTTAGATCTGAGAAGCCACATATGATCATGTTTCCGCAAACGTTTTAGGGTTTCAACATTTTGTTTCGTCCTATAAATTTTGTCAGTGTGGTAACCGTGTGTAGAATGAATTTACCTCTGATCAGAATCAAAATCCGAGGCCATACCAATTTACTTGAGAAGCGGAGTTGCGGAGTACGTTGTCGGGTTATGATGCTCTCTGACTTACTGCACCATTCTTTGTCGTTGCAGTGACACTCGGTGTACGACCCAAAAGAAATACTGTAGTTCCTTGACTTGATCAGTTATGTACAGATACGACGCGCTTCCAGGGGCTTACGTCATTTTTGTTTATCCTTTCTGACAGAGGTACTGCTTTAGGCGCACCGTACAATGCCCGGCACGTGCACACAGGAGCTGCCAACAGGACATGGCAGTTGGTCTTTTAAAGACCTGAAATTCGATCACAGATGAGTGATCATAAACGTCATAAAAACTCCCTAAATGCATCTTTATTGCTTCCATCAGGTTACCTTCTAATTACATCCCGGTTCCATTGCAACGGGAAAGGGGATTTCCTTTAGCACTGTCTCATCGACCTTCTATGGAATTTGAAGGTAGTAACAATGTAAGGTGCGTTGTGACCTGATATGGCTAAGAAGTGACTATTTCGTTTTAGAATCTCAATTAACCTTTATTCATCGCTTCATTGCGTGGATAGCCGGCTCGTGGCCTCATTGCTCGTGACGAATAATTGTTCTGGGTTATTTTTAACTCCTGTTGAAATGTCAGTAGCTGAAAAGTAATAAGACATGTGGCCACAAACAGTGGCGAGGAGGCTCGAAATACTTGATTAATGTTGAGCGGTGTGTTGGGACTACTATGAGAAGTTCAAATCTTGAAATTCGCACCATTTTTGAGCCTTCATTTCTCTTTTTCAAAGAGTGGTGTGTGGAACATCGACGAACGGATGAAAGTGGTCAAGAAAATTATCAAACGGCCAAACAAACACCCTAGCAGCATGAATGACGTGGTCCTATCTGTAACGACGAAAGCAGTGAGTCCATTGTTACCCTAGACCGCTTTTGCATCACAACATATTTTGGAATAGATTTTTTATCGACTTCTTCTCCAGAGATGAAGAAGCTCAACACTGAACATTTTATAGTGTCTTTTCTTTTCCGAACTGTGTACGCCGCTATTCAAAGGTCGACGATATTGACCTGTAATGATTTACAAGCAGACGTCTATTTTAAACGTCTCCAGACAATCATATACAGGATCGAGCATGTAATGTACAGCCAAATGCTGTGAACTTGTTTCTGGCCTGGTCATTTCATACGTTCTACTGAGCTATCAGACTGAAATTCGCACTACCGCTTAGGTCGCCAAAAATGCAATTGGCCTGGAATCGTTCTTACAGAGGGGGTGGTACCAACTTTGAGGGACATATCATATGTATTCCTGGAGTTCTGTTTTTTTCGTGGTTAACACTGGTTAACACGTTCACTAAATACTGGTTTTTGCAACTCAATCTACCGAGCGGCGTCAAACTGCACTGTCAAAGTACACTTTCTCGTAAGTGGTTTTTGACACAAGGTTCACTTCATAGAACACAGACTGAGGTCAAGCGCATGAGAAATTGTGAAGACTGTTGCTCTGTGTGTGATAGTACAAACTGACCTCTTTCATTTCGCAGTCATGGCTAGACCTGCTGCCTGACTTACCTGGCGTGTCTTGAATACTGGAATTACACATATTCAGTCGACCACAACAATCCTAGAAGATATCAAGCTCCAAGAATTTCTTCTAAAAATACTTTCATTAACTCATGAATAACTATCGGTTTTACAAAAGTTCTATGACCGGTCTTTCTGTGGCCAGTTATTCCAGATGTTCGTTATCACCTTCATCACAGCCCTAGTGTCGTAAGCTGCCAAAACGTTTTTTTGGAAACTAATAATTCAACAACATTGAGGTCCCATGGTTCTTCCTCTCAGCATACAGTAAACAACGTTATCCTCGGGTTCACGCGTCTTCATGTCAATTACACAAGCGCTTAACAAATTCTAGTATTGAGTGAGTTGAAACGCTGCTAAATCAAGAATTGCTCATTGAGAACAAAGTGGTAACACATCATTGGTGCGAGGAAACGGTAGCAGCGATCTTGTGAGCTGCAACAAGGCTGCAACAAGATAACGAGCCCAATTTTACCAAGCAACGGCGACACTTACATCGGAATGGCTTATTGCAAAAATGCAGAGTAATGAAAAGGACGACGACAGGTAACGAGACACGCGCATATGTATCGGCAGTTCAACATTTCGGATTGTTGTGCGGAGGTCTATGTTAGATGAAAGCAGTCCGCGTTTGACGACCGCTCATAATGTACAAAAATACGAGGAAAGAGGGTTGACATTGGCTCATTATGGATTAACCATAAGTAACTGATGCAAACTCGGTTCGCGCGGCTAAACAGCGTCCTGGTTCTGTTCATACAACAGTGTGCTAAATCACATGCGTCGTGTTTGTTATCCCTTGATGAAAAAACATATGTTGGTTGGCTTGTTCTTGGTGACAACATTCTTGAATGCTGACGTTGGAATCATCAAGTATTCCGGTACAACCCTCTCGCTCACGGCGTTGTGAGAGTGACAATGACAGCTTGTCACAATTTTACTTTTTACACACGTCCCACAGTCTTGTCAAACCATTCTTTGTTCCTTCTTTTTAACCCGCACAGGATCCACCATTTATGATTTCAATCAGTTCAGATGCATACGGGAATCCATTACCACATCCAGATGCGTGGACAGGATATTGCAAAGAGCTATTGGACGCTCTGGCTGCTGAAGTCGGCTTCAATTACACGATTCAAATCCCTAAAGATGATCAATACGGATCTGCAAAAACGTTGCCGAACGGTACGGTTGTGTATAATGGAATTATGGGGCAACTGATTCGAAAAGTAAGTAAGCAGGAGACTCAACATAGCAACGGTGGAGAACGCCGAATGATTACGTGGGCGGGCGCACGCTAGGGTCTTTTTGATATTTCTTCACTTTCCGGCAAAAAATGACTTCATCTATAGGACGAAACCTTGACGGATATTAAGAAGCCATTTCGAAACAAATGACACTAAGATAATCGCACAACAACTGCCCTCCCAATGGAGACTATGTTTTGACACTAGACTCCAAAGTGAGACTAAACGTAAAACTCACCATGGAACTGATTAATGTGTTGATATAATATTGCCACAGGAAATTCATATCGTCAGGATTGTTTTCGAAACTTTTGAAACATTTCTATTCAGAACGTCCATTTCAATGAACAATGTTGAGGTAGTGCATTTGAACACTGACCCGACATACTTCGTAGTTTTCTCTCGCAGTGATTTCGTCGTCTCCTGAAGTGTTCATATGCGAAACTCCCTATTCGGCTGCAAATCACTTCCGCCTGCAGGGCCTACCGTTCACGTGAACGGTAGGACGTCCCACACCTGCAGGGCCTACCGTCCACATGAACGGTAGGACGCCCCACACCTAATTTTCGCGGTTATTTTAGCTAATCAGCAACAGACATCTCTGGTCATGCGGACCTTCAATTATAAAACCCTTCCAGAGTAAATAATATGTAGTGCTAGTGAGAGTTCATAAGAGTGGAAATTTAGCTTAGCACTTCATACGTGGTGTAAGCCTACCTATGCTCGGACAGGGTGAACATCATTCTGACTTCGACGTGTAATTCGCTTCTGCGAAGCTTGTAGCTACTCATGAGTAGTTCACCACATACTTAAATTAGAACAACAGAGGCTAGTATGCCTTAGAATATCCTAATGGTTTGAACAAAAACACAGAACAAATATCAATGTTTTCGGGATCTTTTTTCAGTGTAGCACACATCTGCTGGTTAAAATAAGGATAACTAATGAAGCAAGCAGCTAAGATTGGTTATTTACTTTGAAGAAAATGGAGCCAGGAACGACTGGTTGTCGCCGCATTCCATGTCGTTTCCAAATTCAGTGCTTTGATACATTCTAGAGGGCTATTAGGCCACATGGTCGGTTGATTGGCATCACATGACAGAGGCAGACTGAGCGATCGTACGAAGCGTTTTTTTACAGTACAGTACGGGGTTTCGTAAACATACTGCGATTGCTTCGGCTGTAGCCAGGCGACGCGATCGACAGAGTCTATTGGGTACTCGGTAGATGACGTGAGACGACTCGCTCGGGTTGATTACTTGGCCAGTGTCAATTATGTGGGATGCGACTGAGCTTTTATGTGAACCACTGAGTTTGGTAGGTCTCCAGCAAAAGACATGCTCGAGTATTCTCTAAGCAATTTGCCGTATTGGATGTCTAATACATGTATACACAACCATATTCTGTATAAAGACTGGCGTTTTACATTTGAGTTTTAAGTTGGGCGAACGGCTGATTGTATACAAAGACCACAGTGTTGCGGCTTAAAACTTGCGCTGTAATGATTGAAACGGCGGCGACTGACTGTTCACCAACAGATCACCTTTATTAGTAGACCTTCTTAGGTTGGCTTCTTTACAACGGTCATGAAAGACATATTGACTGGACGCTCCGACCCTCTCTGGACAACCGTTGGCTTGAAGCACGTTAGCAGTGTGCTTCTGAAATAGGCTACTATCGAGGTGCCTAAATCTGGAGTGCTTTTCAGGAAAGCTGATCGATTAAACTCTTGTCATGGGAAGTACTCATACCATGAATCAAGCATGTTCTATCTTGCATTTTGGTCTTTGGACCGTAGACACATCCACACAAATTACGTATTGGGTAGATCTGGAAAAAAATACACTCAGATTAAGCACTACACATGCAGCAGTTTGTGAGCTTCCAGTCTTTCTGAAATTTTCAAAATAACAACGGCTGGTTAGCTTCCCATCACAGCTAATCAGAGCATCCGTAATACGTTATTTTACAGAATTTCATCGCCCTTCAACTTTTCTTCCATCACAGGAGGTGGATATGGCCGTTGCCGGATTCACTATCACCTATGAACGTGAGAAACTGGTGGATTTCAGTACACCTTGGATGACAATCGGTGGAAGTATTTTGTTTACCAGACCAAAAAGTCAGAAACCTTCCTTGTTCTCGTTTCTGCAACCACTGGCACCCAAGGTAGGTAGACTTGGTTGAGCTCTCGCGCCTGAAAACTTTTATTTCACCCAATCGGTAAACGGTTTGATAGCGATATGCACTAGTGGTATCAACACAAACTAATCCTTGATAGAGGAAACTCACACTATCTGTGGTTATGTAGGTGAAGTACTCAGAGGCGTCACGTTTAAGTGATTGTCGCGAACACGCAAAGTGCAATAGGAATGGCACGTGGCCAGTACAACCAGGTATTCTTATTCGAATTCAGAGTATTCGTTCGTACAGAGCCAAGAGTCGATATCTTGTCACTGCAATGCAGCGTTCCCACGGTTTATGCATTTCATTCATGGAACTAACCTGTGTTTGACTGGATCTTCTTCATTTCTGTACCATATTCGTGAGTCTGGGAAGCTTGCATTTTGAGTTGCGTGACTGTTAACGGAGGGTGAGTTCCCAGACCGTTTTTCTATTCGATGTAAAATGGTCATGAGCTAGCTAACAATATACGCATGGTTCCGAAGAAACAAGGCTGTGAAAATTCATTATTCAATAGTCGGAATGAAATGATACCTACTGAGCCACGAATTCACGTGTCTCTTATTCAGGATAAGTGCAATAAACTATGGTAAACATGGTAACCTGTACCACGACTTCGATTCCCTTCTTTCATTTCGGTTCGGCATGCTTAGAAACTGGGAGCCCAATAGCCCCTCCGTCATGTTCTGTACTATCTTCCCTATTGACAGGTTTGGCTGTACGTCGTTGCAATCTACCTGGCTGTGTGTTTGTGCATGTTTGCCGCAGCTCGTCTATCGCCTTACGAATGGAATGCTCCACATCCCTGTGACGAGGATTCAGATGTGACAAAAAATCAGTTCACCCTGCTTAACAGTTTCTACTATTACATTTCGGCTTTGCTGAATCAAGGTAAGCAGACTGTATTCAGCTTGACCACTATTGATGTTTGAATTTGACTGTTGCTCAGTTGTGGGCATACGCATCGATTTTGTTCGTCCGTCTACTAGTGTAACGGTGGATACTACTGATGGGGGAGGCATGCAAGTAGTATGCTTTCTCGTAAATCCGCTTCGCGTCTCTTGAAACGTGAGATCTATTATGGAATTTGTGGAGTCGCTTTTGTTTGCATTTGAGCAACAGTCAATGAATATCTAGGAAAGTCCAGGAAGACGCGTTTAAGGGAAGGTGGATATTCAGTTTCTGTAAACAAGATGCATATGAGAGTTTTGCTTCCATGTCCAATGGTCTGTAACTGTTCACTTCGCGTTTTCTAGTAAACAACTCCAAAGAGAAGGCCTTCTCCCATTCACTCGTATACCTAATCATTGTCAATGCTATGGGCGTGGAAGAATTCGTGAACGTATGCCAAGAAGTGGAAAACAACATTGAACTGTACCTGGCTGCATTAGGATCACTCACGACTACCATGTTTTGGCTGACGGAAGTTAAAATTGGTCAAACTTCAACATACAGGTTTATGGACGTTCCCCACAGCTACCAAGTTTCTGTCCAGACCCGAAAGCTTACCAGCGAACTTCTTTTTGCCATGCCCTTCCAGCCTGTCATAAGTTATCCAAGATGAGAAAATATTCAGCATTTTTACGAATTGTATTCTGTGTGATAAAAACGAACCTGATATGACCGGACTTCTAGTAAAGAGCTAGAGTCCTGGAAGAACCTTCTTGTACAAATGCAACAGAGGAAGCGTCTCATCATAACTTATTTTTACGATACACAGCTCAGGTAAAAGCACTTCTTGAAGATGACCTTGAAAGCCGGAAGTTGTATTCCTTATCAGATTGTCTGAGATGGAAATAGTTCCTACTGGATAATACAATACAGAAGGTGACCAGGAACCCGGAAAAAGAAGAAAAATGTACCATGCATTTTTCGCCGGGTCTTTTACACCACAGACTGTCAAAATGTTCTTTTCACACTGTAAACTCACCAACGCTGCCGTGAAATAAACCCGTCGTTGTTGCCAAGGTCCCTTAAGGTTACATATTCAAGATAACTCAGCTATTTTCAGGAAATGCTCTTTGGTGTGGGTATGATGCTATCTGATTTTTTTATACAACGCCTGGTTCTTTCTGTTACTATTCTACTGTCACATACAAGATTTCGGAAAGAAAACTCGATGCGATCAACGAAGCGCATCGTTTATCCGGGTGCATCATGTTGCGCTTTATTTAGGCATCTGGTAGTTTCGAAGTTCACCGCGAAATCTTCCACTGATAACCATCATGTATTGATTAAAACAAACGAAACCTCTCAATCCTTCCTGATTGAGTGAAGGCGCTGTTCCTATCTATTTGACTTCAGGCTTTCATGTACAGAGCAGCAATTTACTCGGTGGATCCCGACTCTCCAACGGAAGCAAATCATATTTTAGTTAAGAGGTTGGCACTTATACACAAAAGTTCACGTGGCTGACCGCTCTTTGGGATGACAGCTTTTTGATGAAGTTTTTCATTTCATTCGACAGCGAGAAGCATTGGGAAAATTCAACTTTTTTATCGGCCAATTAGAACCCGCAAATGATTTTTGTGATCCACCTGTGTAAGCTGCATCAATTACAGCTGTACCCGAGGGGATAATGATAACAAATAAGAGTAGGATGCGACATTCAGTTTTCTGCCGTTTATACAGTAAACATTCTGTAGTTGATAACTCTATTTACTTTGGGTTGGCTATCTCTCGACGGTGAAAAGTTAACACACACGAACTAACATGATCTTTAGACCCAGTTCGTCAGATTCATCATCATCATCATCATCATTGTCAGCTGTAATAAGCGCGTACTCGTCGTCAGCTTACTCACAATCGATCTGTCTTATTACGATCCGTTCAAACTTCTGATCTTGAGTTTCTTCAAATGAACACAGTGTTGATCAATACCATGAGAGATTCTGTTCTGGTAACACAATATGATTTCTATTACTGATCTACTTCTGGATATTACTTGAAGAGGTCAGCTGAAGGTGATGGGTGCATACTATTTGATGAAATAGAAAGGAGAGTAAGTGGAAAGGGTGTGGTTGGGAGGTATCAAAATCATGAATTCAGGGGACCTCAATCCAACACTGGCTTATGTCAGAGTTAGCACATGTTTATTTTGGACGCATAGTTGTGGGTCCAGAGGTGTCATGAAATTTGAAGGGCACTTCGGGACGGATCGTAATAGTAATGAAAAGGGTTCGCGTGCAAGGAGCTGCAATCTGGAAACTACTCACAGGGTTGCTGAAAACTCTTCGACAGCCCACAACCGGTTTCGCCCTTCTTGGAGCTCATCAGGTAGTTTTCCGTAGTTTCCGTCAACCTTATATTCTACTTGGAATCTGGAAATCACAGGGTTGCTGAAAACTCTTCGACAGCCCACAACCGGTTTCGCCCTTCTTGGAGCTCATCAGGTAGTTTTCCGTAGTTAGTTTCAACCTTATATTCTAC